TCTGAGACCTAGTTCCCTCTGAGCATTTTGTAGACAGTCATATAAACACTTCAGATACAAGTTAAAAGAATAAATTATTTGGAACAAGCCCTTCTTTAAGCCATATATGTATTGTTTTCTCTTACCTATTGCTGAGAATGTGCTTCTTCTCCGATTGGTCCCGGTTATGTGAGCAGCTACCCTCTGAGGACCTTTTTCTCTTTCTAAGTGAGGAATGTTCTGTTGCTTTTCTAAAAAACAAATGACAAAGAATTATCAGCACTTGTCAAACTGCTTCTCAAATACACTGCTGTTCACTGCTTTTGTCAATCAAGCATCGTGATCACACGATGTCGATTAGATGGGTTTTCATAAAACCAAACCTACATTTAAGTACGATGATCAGACTACTTCAGTGTATGTTTAATTTGAAAGTAATTTAGATGGGAAGATTAAGCAGCCACTTAGGCTATAATTTATTAGCACCTCAGAAGTAGGTTCAACTAGAATATAACATATACTACAAATGGTTCAACTGGAATATAACAAAGTGAAGATTCTGGCCCTTTTCCAAAAATTAAAATAAAAATAACAAATATGGACTTGTAATACTCCTCCTGAGTCATCCAAGTGCACAATAACAGGTACTGGCAGATTTCCATTCTGAGTTATATATAGAAACAATCAGAGTGATATCAGCTGGCGTTATCTCAATTATTTTTTCCTCTTTGCTGGCTGCTACCTATTCTCAAGGAGCACTGCTGCTAACAACTGTCCACAGATGCTACCCAAACTGGGATCCAAGAGTCATCGCCCCTGTATCCCAAAAGGAACATGAAATGACATAATTGTCATGATGAGCATAGATGAGCATATAAGTCACTGATTCATTAGATCATAATAAACTAACATTTTTCAACCACCATCCAAGAATACAAATTCAACAAACTACTCTTTAAAAAAATCAGCTCACACTTCCTAGGACGCTTCCGTTGGCCATTAAGATTAATTATATGCTTTCATCAAGCAAATATGGCCAGGGACAAGGCATTGCCCTAGAGGGGCTTCAAAGATTAATCACTGATTACAATGAATGAGTCCTCAACAGACTTACAGTTTTTAGGGACGATATAAATTAGAAAATGAAATTTTACCTATGAGAAATAGAAATAAAGGGTGATGAGTGTTCAGGGAGGGAAAGGTTCCTATTGGTTGGAGAGCTGAGGTCAGGGGAGGGTTTGTACTAAGACCCTTTCATCCATTACTCCAGCAAATCAAAGTGCCCATCACATCTGTGCCAGTACTCTTCTAGGACCATGGAGAAAGAATTATAAACAAACAAATGCAAGGAAGCATCTGAAGTGCAGAATAATTATCTGAATAGGGGGAGGATGGGAAGGCTTGGGGCCTGACAGAGAAGGGCATTCCCAGAAATCTAGAACAATGTCCCCGAGGCAGGATGCACAGAGCATCTCTGGGGCAAGGCATCAGAGGAGTTCAGTTTCAGGCTTGAATAAGGAGTTAAACTACAGAGGATTTGCATGTTAGGCTAAGAGATTTGGATTTTACAGACATGGGAGATTCTGGAAGGTTTTAAACAGGGAAGCAAAAAGATATACTAAATTGACTCGTAGTAAGGTTTGACGGATAGAAAGTGAGACGGCTGGAGATTGGCAAGTTATCAGACAATTATAATTGATCAGGACTGAGAACAGGAAACTTTAATCTAGCCTAGTCGAAGAAGAAACTGAAAGGGGGTGATAAAATTCCACAGGGACAGAAATGAATGGGAATGAGAATTTCTCTATCTGCCTGGAATTGTTCACTTATTTAGGATAAGTGGGCATTTGTACGACACTGAAGACCAAACACACCACGGGGATGTACAATTACATGTTACTCTCATGATGCCCAGCTTTCAAGGTTGATGTGTCCATTTACTTTTAACCTCCATTGTTAAATAATTCATAATGCCTTGACTGCTCCTAGATCTTAACACTTTGTTTTAAAATATTCAACAACAGAATTCAATTATAAAAATCTCGCATTTGAGGTCATTGAAAGGATATGGGAGAGACTAGATTGTAAAGCAAATTCTAAAGAGAGGAAATTTCCTACTGAGTATGGCAAACACTTCCTGGAAAAGAAGCCTTTGAATGTGTATATTTGGGTGTCACGGATACTTCTTGGTATACTGAGGAGTATATGATTTCTACATCCCACTGGGATGAATACAAAAGAATATTTTCCTTCCAACACTGAAAATAGTACATATTTCTACTGTAGAGCATGGATCTGGAGTTCCTCATTAGGTGAGATGGAGTGTTTGACACTCCAGCTACTGCCTCTGCCTACAAGTAAATGACCAGAAAGAATGCCTGGACCCGGGAGAAGGTCTTGGCTTCATATTGAATAAAGTCTATTTAATAAAAGATGGTGGGGGTATCAAGTACGAGGGAGTTTTTTGTATTGGAAAAGGATAACTGAAAATTAGGAAGACATCATTAATGAAATATATGTTTAAAAAAACTGTTTCTCTTTTGCCAGGCTAGTGTGCCCCAGGACTGTATGTCTCTGGTACATGCATTTGGGCCCAAACGACCATGAGTATGGGAAAATGGGGCTATGATGAGCCAAATGCAAAGAAACAGCAGATTGAATTCATCAATTGTATTTACTTACGTATTGATTCAAAATATAGGCATTAAGCAATTTCTGTGTAGACAGAGATGGTGGTGGCACACTATTAATGCACTTCCACTGAATTTGTGTGCTTCAAAATGGTTAATGGTATGTAGTGTGAATTCTTCTCAATCAAAATACACACAGATATGTGTTCACCAAAGACGGTGCAGGTAAGGTCCCGGGGGTAAAAGAGAATCTACTAGGCTGGAGGCATAGAGTTAAGTCTAGGTACAGAGAGGTGAGAGAAATAGCCATGTTTTCTGTCTTTGTGAATCTTCAGTAGCGAATCAGCAAACAGACTGAAAAAAAAAAAGAAAGGAAATGAACAAGACGAGTGTGACAGCAACAAGGGGCAGGGGATCTTACTTAGAATGTTGGCTAGGGAAGTGCTCTCCGAAGAGGTGACAAGTAGGTGATGAGGATGGAGGATGAGAAGGAGCTGGTTATGGAAGAAGCCAGGTGGAGGGCCGCGAAGCCAGCCTGGGCAAAAACACTGAAGGGGGCTGACGACCACACACAGGCAGGTGGCTGAGGTGGGGGGAACACAGCATGAGAATTTCGAGTGGGTAGAGGACTGTTTGGAAAGAGATGATGGAGTAAGATGCTTTTGCATAAAGAAATGCTTGGAGCCTAAGTGTGGTCAGAAGCAGAGACGATGGGCAACTTTGGTGCCCTTAATTTTTTCCAGCTACATTCCAGAAAGGATTTAGATGTATTATTTACTACATGTTCAAAGGCAAAAAATAAATAATTAAGGAATTGAGGTGAAGGGAAAAATCCACATTGGAAAAGTAAAATTCAGGTGAAATCAAGTTCAGACCATAGGTGGGCCACAGATTCGGTTCTCAGCTTTCTAGCTGCCAAAGGGAAAAGGAAAATAGAATCAAGTAGCTTGTGACACTGAGCAGCGGCTGGAGGTGGGATGAGTGGATGGGAGGTTGATAGTAGAAAATTAAAATAACAAACAAAAAATACTACCTGGAATTGTAGGAATGGTTTCCTCATAGGTTCTCAAAATCATCTGCAAATAGTATTGAATAAAGCTTGTTAATTTCCCTAAAAATTTAAGCTGACTACAGATTGTCTATGACTCTTCTTGCTGACACCTGACAGGAAATTTCTACGAAAGATATCAATCTAGGCAGCTTTAAGTTGTTCAAGCATAGGTTGGTGTTGGGTAGGATGGGAGCTGGGCTGAACACAAGGCAGCTGTCCCTACGTGGTGATCAAAGGGTGGTCCTCTGTCTGAGAGAGTTCTGTCTCCGGATGACGTCTACAAAAGGCCACACCTGAAGCAGCACAGGAGGAAGGAGTCATCCTTCTCCAAGTTAGGTCACCCTAATGTTTCCCAGGCCTCCTGGGGTTGAAGGATGTGGTGGCCACGTGACCTCACTTTCTGTGTATGTGTCTGCATGCATGTGTATGTAA